TTTGTTCAGAGACTACTCTGAACTTGTCCTGGAGAAAGGTGTCCGCTAACTGGGAAAAGCTGGTCTCCTCCTTCCTTTGAAAGACCAAATTTTCTTCCGACTGGACCTACTCAAGTTGTGTGTTACTGATTTGTAAGACAGCGCACCCCAAACCGTAACAGTGTGGTGCATGAGACCGGCTCTGAGTAGTCCTGGTTGTGCAGTTGCTGGCACAGCGTTAAAGCTGTTGTGTGCCCTGTGCTCTAAACGTGGGCTGTTGGCATGACCTTGACGCAGCTCTGGTTTGCTCCCCCTACCTTGGGCATCACTGAATTTGTCCTTTTTGTGCATGTGCATTGCTGAGAAGTCCAATGAAAGTGGTGGACTTCATTAGATGGAGAGAGAAGAGCTGCCAGGCAGATTGTGTCACAGAAATCAAACATACTAATTTATTTCTCTCTGTGTGTGTAACATTTGGTCCTTTTTCACCCTCTGACCTTGGGTCCTTTACAGAAGAAACGTTACACTAACAATGGGTGAACGTGAGACTTGGAGGAGGAAAGTGCGTTGTTTAGAGTCCCAAGCAGGTTGAAGCATGAGCTGCAAATGCAATTCTTATGTCCCAAAGCCTGACTGTGTGCTACGCCCCATTGCATTGCAAGGTTGAAGTTTCTTGTAATGGCAAAATATGGTCTTGAAAAAACTGGCTGCAAAGATTTTATTTGTTTAAACAAAGGCTTTGTGATTCCAGAATTCTCTCCCCTTTCATATGCTATAAACCACCTCCTCCGCCTCCCCTCTGAAATATGAATTTTGGAGTAATCCATCAAGAAAAAGAGAGACAGAGCCTTGATCCCTTGACTTCAGTTGAGCTGTGCAATTTATATCTACTGAGCATCTGGCTGTAGGGAAACCAAAAACCCTTTTAATATTCTGCAGAGACTCTGGGTATACAAATGAGTGTGGGCTGTCAGAGCTGAGAAATGGGGCAGAGATGCCAAGAGGTTTCTTTGCCGTTTTGCACGAAACTTTGACCTGCAGCCCGTGGTGAAAGTTGGCCTGCTTTTTTTTTGTTGTTTTTTTACTCCCCTCAGTGCCACTGCGATAATTGTGCTGAAATCATTAGAGCCCCATTGGTATAAAGCCATTATCATGCCTTTCTTCTTATCTCGATTTGAGTGAGGAGTTTGAAGACTTGTGGGGTTTTCAGCCTTGAGCAGCTGAAACGTGCAACTCTAATCATGAAATGATGCAAACGCTGCTCGAGCCCTGCAAAGCAGGCATGCTAAGTTAGCAAGGCACCTGAAGTCAGGCATTCACCGCTGTAACTCGCTGCATGTAGGAACGTATCCAGAGTGGAAGCTGCAGGCTTAGAGCCTGATACCTGTTTGCAGAGCTGCAGCGCTGGAGGCACTGGCTCAGCCTTTAAGCAAAGATTGGTCAAGGGTAGCAACCTTTGGATCAGGGTTAAGCAGGTCGCTGCTGGCAGAGGGTACATGACTTTTTCTGTGGAGTCTACCACATCTCTGGTATATCAGACTTTTCTTTCCCTCCAGTTGCATTGCTTTACCCGTGCAGCCGGAGAGCGGGAATGGGAGGGTGGGAAGGGAGAGGGGTGCTAGGACAGTAACAGCGAGACATCGTGGAGACAGACTGGGTGTCATGTGATATGCTGGTACAATCTCATGTTCATTATCTCAATTATTTATCCTCCCTGCTGGAATATTTCTAAAACAAATCCTACCATGTGTTTTGAGGTTGGGCTTTGTAGAGTGAAATCACAACTCCTTTCTTGGAGTTTAGCTGGAAAAATACAAATCTGCCAACTAGGAATATGAGGGAAATAAACTGCGGTTCTGTGTAGCAACAAGTGATGGATTTCTGCAGATATAGAAAGCGTCTGCTCTGGAGTTCCAGGTCAGAGAGTATGTGTGTTTGCCCCAGTGTTGTGTTTGTTGCATGTGAAATAATGATGTGAGATTCTCAAGCTCGTTTTAATAAAGCAGACTGCTTTCACCCTGATCAAAAAATTCGGCTGTGCAGTCCCAGGCCTTGGAACCACCAGCCATCAGGATTAGACACTAAATACTTCAATGCATAGTAGTCAGGGAAGATATTTTTTAGCTTGGTTTGTCACCCCCGTTCTCAGGCCTTCTGCAAGGACAGATAAGGACCCCAGACCTTGAAGCAGCCTGGTCCCCCGCATGTTGTGAGCGAGCTTTGAATGTAGTTTCTGTAACTGCAGTACTGAGCATTCATTTCTCTGTTTGAAAGCATCATCTGTCTATTTGTTAGCTAAATAAACATCACAGGGTTTGTTGGCAGGACAGCTTGCCCTAGTAAGAAGATCTTTTGCATTAGGACGTCCACTTTCTGGATTAGTTAAATGTCTTTTGGGTCTAGGCTAAGTACCTTGGGTGTGGGTCTGCGTCTCCAGGCATTTCACGAAGGTAAGGATCGGAGTTCAAATCCAACTTGAGCATAAGTAGTTCTCTTTCTGACCTGGGCTGTGTTTTCCGTGTTTCAGCAAGCATCGCTGACATGAAGACAGTATTAGTACAAATGTCACCATGCAGTGGCACTGCTGCTTCCTCCCCTCTTCCACCATTTTGTTCATTTAAATCTAACCTTCTGTGCTGCAAAAGCACCCGAGAGGGCTCTTTGAGGCACTCTTCAAGAGCAGAGGGCTGCTGGGCTGGTGCTGTTTGTACACTCTGTCCGGCAGAGACGATCCGAGTATCCTCCCCCTGGGACCTGGTTGATTCACCCCAGTGCAGAGGGGTAGTACAAGCCCTTTTTTATGAGCCGAGGTCTCCGAAGAGAGCATAAATGATCAATCCATCTCAAGTTATGCACAGAGATGGTTTTCAGACAGTTCAAGTCAGTCTCTCTAAACCTATGGGAGTTATTAATATGTGCAAGCCAGCAGAAGGGAGAATAGGACTCCATATTTTATTTGCTCTGTAACACATCTGGTACGCCGTTTGGCTCTTGGGAGTACTGGATTTATTCAGTCTTATCTTTGTGGGGATGAGCAAGATCAAAAGCATGAAACCAGTTACATGTAGAGTGTAATTCCCTGTTTTACACACCACAGGCAGATCCAGACCAAACAAACCTCACCCATTTTGTTCCCTGTGGAACAATGCACTTATGGCACTTGCGTATCCATGGGCCAATTCAAGCCAAAAAATATTGCCCAAGATCTATTGCAGAGAATAAAAATAAACAAATGTTATTTCCTGTTGGGTAAAAGAAAGTCCATGTCAGTATTGACCTGTGAGGAAATCCCTCAATCTAAGTGTTCTTGAACCATCAGACGCTTTGTCTGCAAAAATGTTACATATCGTGAGGTGGAAGCTCTATGCCTAGCTCCTTTGGGAAGCTACGCAGCTCCTCATAGAGGGTCAATGAGAGAATTTCTTTGGAAGGTTTATGCAATGGGTGATTGGTTACCGTTAGCACTCAAGCAATCTTCTTAGACTGTAAATCACTAACGTGGAACAGCCAAGCTTCCTGGCCCTCTGAGCCGTGTGCTAAAATCTTTGCATGGCTGAAAGCCATCAGTACATACCATGTGCTTCATAAAAGTTGAAAGTGTTTGTGGGTGAAGATTGGAGAGATTCCTTGGGGCTCTTTGTGCAAAAAGGGGACAAGGCTTGTTGGAGGGGACAACTGAGTCCTAGGTGTCGAGGTGACGTTTAGTCAGGCCGAAACCCACGTTCACCCATTCCTCACCATAGGCAGGCACTGGGTTTACTCAACATCCCCTGCATCAATGCAGCCTCAGCCTAAGCTGCACCTGAATGGTCTATTAAGGGGTTTAAGAATTACAGCCCAACCTCCCCAGCCCTATGGAAATACCAGGATGAAATACTTCTTCTGTGGACAGTTAATGAAAACTGGCTCTGACCTTTAAGGAGCCCAGAAACCCACACAGAGATGTATTTCTCCTCTGTGGGACATGAGATGGCAGTGATTCATCACCTGAATATGCATGGTTTATTCTCTGAAATACTTCATGCTGCAAGTCATTTTCCCTGTTTAACAACTGCTGCGCTTTAAAAGTCACGATAGGTGAGTGGTCCAGTCTGGAAATCTTTTCTGGGAGCTGGAAATGGGCAGTTGAACACTGCTGCAAAGCGCTGGGAGAAGTGCCTTGTTGATTAAATCTCTGTTCAGGACTTTATTCTCCTTCACTCACTTAAAAATTGCTGAAATGAAAACAGAGGCAAAGCAGCAGGCCTTCTGTTTAGATAAGTGATGTCCTTTGTATCAAGCAATCATTTTAAACTGCACTCAGAGCCCATTATGTTAATGTCTGTTCTTGCTAAGGCATCCTGTCAAGACCCCTTTGGTGGTTGCTGCCTATCTGTTGCTTCTATGCAGCAAAGTGAGATGGAAACCACTTCGTACTGCAGCTCTGGTCTGCATCAGCCCTGGGATCCGTCTTGGATTTTCTTACTGTCACTGAGACAGATGATTTGTTGTGGGAGTGGTAACAGGGCCTGGGAACCCAGGGATGGAGCAGGACTCTACAGAGATGGGCATTTTGTATATTCATTGCTTTCCTCAGTATTTGACCAGGATGTAGAGTATAGGAGAGGGTACAGCACCGAGCTAAATGGAGTAGCGGTTGTGCAGCCTGTGAGGTGGGAGCATGCGCTGCACCAGCTTGCACCAGTGGCAGAACAAGTGTCTCTGCTGGGGCAACAGGTCATGCTGGTTGGCACCATGAAAAGTCTTAAAACTAATTTTTTCTTCATCTACCTTCTACCTATTGGGAACTTGGTTTCACACTCTGCCCCACTAAACATCCCCGAACAAGGTTCATGTAACATGGCTGTGGCTGTTTACCTGTGCAATGGATTTGAATACCTATTTTCACTCCCTAGCTGATCTTGAATCACTTTTCTGTGTGCCTTGATTCAGAAAAGGGATCGGGGTCTGTAGGCTGAAAGCCGTGGATTAAAATGCAAAGTACATAGAAATTTTACATCGTTTTGTTTTGTTCTTTCTAGAATGCATGAACTGCACGAGACTAGCAGATATGACCGAGAGGCTAAACACGCTTGAGGCCAAGGTAAGGACCTGCCTTTATTCTTCTGTTTGGCAAAAATTTCCAAGAGTTGCCAGTGAAAAAGATGTTGAGTTAGCAGCCCTGGAGTGATCAGGTGTCTGTCCTTCTGTCCACAGCGAGGAACACACTGTGGCAGTGGTTCAGCCCCAGGAAACAAGGGCAGCACTGCTGTGCACGTGGGCATCGCTCATCTCTAGCCCAGCTCCTTCCGCTTCCCACGCAGCTACATCTCTGCCTTCCTCCTTCCCTCCGGCTGCTCAGCTCAGCTCCTCCTAAATAATGCTCAGACCTGAGAAATAATGCGCCATGTGTTGCCATCACACTTATCACTGTGTTTGCCCATTATAAGCCTGCCCTCGCACTGTATCTGCCTTGTCTCCAGCTGGCCGGCTCTCGTGACGGGCTCGCTGGCTGATGTGTGGTGATGTGTTGGGACCGTGCTCGCTGCTGTCACGAGTGTGCAGCTGCTAATAAACAATAACTAGCTTATTGCCCTCGACTGGAACACGTTGGCTCAGGTTTTGCTTCAGAAACAGAGGGTAGATGGAGCTGTGTGAAAAATCTCTTGCCTTCAGCTGGTTGATAACGTGGGCTTGTAAAGCAGTGATTCCCCTGGCTCGGGAAAGAAGCAGACTCTGATTCTGGTCTCTCTCACTAAAAATACCTTGTAGAAACCTTACCAACATAGAGTGCAAAACAGAGGAGTAATGGTATGTAGATTTTTCTAAGAACAGTTGTTAGAACTACTCTTCAAGTGCTATCCAGTCCTGCTTTTTTATCCCCTTTCTGAACGATGGGACGTTTTCATGCATAGTTTAGTGGAGACAAATGTTAAGGAGAGACTTTCACGTTGTGGGTTTTTTTTCTGCAAATTGTTTTAATTTCTACCTACTGGGATTCAGATAAATTGTTCCAGTCTAGCAACGAAGCAGCTGAGTCAGTTATTCCCCTTTGATCTGTGACAGCCCAATCCTGGCTGTTAGATATAGTGCTTTGGTCCCTTTCAGGTATGTGCTGCTGTTATTATTCATTAACTGATGGTTATCAATGACATAAAAGAATTTGGGGAGAAACCTTTCTGTGTGGGGGGGTAGATGTGTGGTATTTTTGAGGCCAGTGCATGATATGATGGTAATTTGGGAATTGTTTGTGCTGCAATGGAGTGAGCAATGTTGTCTGGAACTTCCTCAAAGCCTTCACAGTTATATTTCACTACAGGAAAACGAAGAGGTGGGGGGAATAAAATTCTGGGGAGCAGAATTGCTCGAGTGAAAACAACTGTTGTAGTGCAGAGGACAAAGATGAGCTGGATTGTTTTTCTGAGCAGCGGGACCTGGCAGGTGGGTGTTCTTTGGCAGCGAGGAGCTGGAGGCGTTTGGAGAGGAGAGAGGGGCTGGTGACTGACCTCTGCGTGTGCAGTCCCAAATCCAAGAAAGACATGGGACCAGCCTCAGAAAGACGTAAATCAGCCCTCTCATGCTCAACCTGTAGCCAGCTGTACCTTCCTTCGTTTTCCAGGATTTTCTATGTCTGGTTCACTGGAAAACGATAACCAAAGCCTGCTGCAACATCAGAGCACCACGCTCTGCAGGCTTGTGCTGCTCAGCGCTTGTGTTGGGTTGCAAAGCATAAGAGGCTAATGGCAACCTCAGTGGAGGCCCTGGCAGGCCTTTGTGGAGAAGGAAGGAGGTCCTTCCTGCCCAAATCCCCTTGCGAAGTCTTAGCCCAGGAGTGAAACTGCAACCAGGTCAGTGCGTTTGTCTTGCAGATGTGAAGCGGGTTTAAATGGGGTGACGTTCCCATCACCTGAAAGCAGTCTGCTCTCTGGTGTTGGCACCAACTGACAGCTAGCCCACGGCATTTGGGAAGTGCTGCCTGCTTGCCCTGGGAGCTATAGCGAAGGCAGAAGCATGTTGTCTCCTACTCTAACCTAGGACACTTGTGCAGCAACTGGTATTTATCTCCTGACTGACAAACCTGATGTGCCGTCCTTAGGAAATGCTTTCTTTGTTGGCAGCTATCTGGCTGCAACCTGCTCTGCGTTCAGGAGAGAGCACTGAGTCATCATCAACAAACATAGTTTCGCTGGCTGAAGAGTTCGTAGTCTAGCAGACCTTCCGACATGAGGACAGCAAGGCAGATGCCTGCAAAGTTCAGTGCCAAGATGTAGCCAGCCAGACCCTGGAGATGACACTATTAAAGCAAAACTTCTCACCCAGCACTGATCTGATTTTGGTACTGCCTCAGTCCCAGCCGTAGCCAAGACCACACCACCTTCTCCCTGCCTTCTTGAGAGTGGGGCTTTGGGTAACTTGATTCTTGTCATTTCTTAATCTCGAGCGTAGTGTATCGTGTCTTTTTTTTAGTGCTGCAGTGAGGCAATTTGTGTTGTTGCTGTGATGGATTTCCTTCTGACTTTCCTATGCTCCCACAGAGACCCAAGTTGGGAGCAAAGCTCATCAAAGGGTTGACATTTACAGAGGGAAATAAGTTCATTCTTTCTATTGTGAAGTACTAAAGATGGTGTCTCTGCAAGGGTGCCTTCTGCAGCACAGCTCAGCAATGTCATTGTCAATCTTTTGGCTTCCACTTTGTTGGAAAAGCTGTGGGTGCTGTGCAAAAATTGACTGTAGCAATTAAATGGAAGGTGAAGCAACATTACACGAATGCTGGTACTGTACACAAAATAAATGTGCTGATTCACCCTTTTCTCAAGGTTAATTTAAGTTCAGTTTGATCTATGTACCTCAGCTGTTTTTCTTCAATAATAGCTAGCACCATTAAAAAGGTGCTTGCATTTGCTTAGTATTGTCTGCATTCTTGCTCTGGATTTTGGAGAAAGGTCCCTATTTTGCTGGATGATCTGGATGTGAAGTTCTCTCTGAGCTCTCCAAACTGTCTTCTTGTAATGTCTCATTTCACCACAACAGCCTGAAGTTGTTCAGAGGAAGACAGGAGTGATGGGGTGGGCATACACATCCCTTGCCGGTGTTGGAGACCGATTCCCCTCCTGATTTTTGCTGTCTTGTTCTGAAAAGGCAGATGTGGTAGTTCATCATTCCTATGAGCAGAGACAGATTTTCCTGCCACAGTTGTACTCTTTCTGGAGACAGCTGAAGTTGAGGAGCTTTGCTGCTTTTGCTCTTTTGAATTTCAGTCCAGCATGACCATGGTGAGCTCGGGGAATGGCAACGGGTAAGATCAGCCACCTCAGTGTAGCCAGTCAGCTTCAAACAGGTAAGGCCGTTGGTATCTGCTGTAAGGGCTCTGAGGCACGTTCAACCTGTGTAGTCTTGTTATAAATACTGCAAGGCCCAAGGGTGAGAGCAAATGTGTGGAAAACTACCTCTGAAGGCACTGTGGACCTGGGCAGATTGGTGCTGGGTGAGGAGTTTTGCTTTAATAGAGTAGGTTAGGGATAAGTGTAAAACAAACTCTTCCTCACACCTCTGCAATGGGCACTTGGCTCCTTGTGCCTTTCTTGGTTATGTGTGAGGATATGTAAAACGCATATTTGTCTTCCAGTGGCTGTGAAGGGCAAGTTAAAGAAACTTAAACTCGGTCATGGAAGAAGAGGCTACGAGATTCTGGTTTCTTCTTTCTGCACTTGTCTTCTGCAGGCTTTTACAGCTGTCCCCCTAAAAAATGAGGATATAACCAGAAATGGTCTCATCTTTCTTATTACAAGGATGAGTTGGTTCATCCAACTTGTAAGATCAGCGTCCAAATGAGGTAATAAAAGTAACCCTCTGATTTTTGTAATATGAGAGTTGGATCAGAAAGCGAGAAGCAAGAATAAACACAGAGCAAATGGAATGAAAAATGACTCATTAGGGACCGGTGCTTATATAGCCCCTGGGGAGGACAGAGACTCTGAGACATGGCTGAACTGTTCAGCAGAACAAACTCTTCATATGTCTTATGCTTCCCTTAACGCTGCTTTAGGTTGTCCTTGTGGATGTAGAAGATGTTTCTGCAGGAAAGGAGGTGAAGGGGGATGGAATCAGGTTCCATCCTCATCCCCCCTGTTTTGAGTTACCCTGTCATCTCCCCAGGATGGAGTTAGCCTGTCCCATTTGCTTGATACCAGACCCACTTGGGTGCCAGAGATTTGAAAGCTTGATTGATGGTGTTGAGCTTGAAACCTACAGGCCATGGGAATCTACATCAGGGAGGATGGTCTTGACCCTGGGTCAAGGACAAGAAAGTGTGCAGGCTGGACACACAGGCTCCCCAAGGCCCAACATGCCAAACCTCACTTCTCTGCTACGACATCTTACCTGACATCACTACAGCACCCCCTGACCCTGCAGAGAGCCTCATTGATGGGAGGGCAGAATGAACCCCGCTTTTATTTCATATGAAAAGTTTCTCCTTAGGCCAGCAGAGCTTCTTAGAGGGAAGAGTGTACAGCCCTTCCTTTCTGAATTTCCTGAGCCTGATGCTGCCCTCCTGTGTCACAGGACTAAGCCCAGACAAACTCCACTGAAGCTCGAGAGAGCAGGGAGTGCTAGCGGCTAAGCAGGCAGCTGCATAAAAATTCTGCTCGTTTTGTTCACCCAGTTTCTTTTAATAACTACAGAGCTACGGGCAGTGCGATATTAATCCCAGCTTTTGGTTGAAGCTTGAGTGCGGCATTTGATCTGAGTTGATATAACCCAGTCTTATCTCCTGACACCGCTTTTGAGAAGTTTGTGGCATTTCACTTACAGCTTTAATGGAGGGAGATAACATTACATATCTAGTGTCTGATGGATTCATTGTGTGATTGATAAACGACATGCATATTTTTTGCATGAAAACAGTCCTTGTAATGTGATTCCCCACGCAGAAGATTCTGAAAGGTTTTAAAGAAAATCTTTGTACTGTGCACAGAGTTTGATCAATACATTGCTATTTATATGAAATCACCCCATTTATTTAGAACAGATTACCCCACAGCACCTTCACTACCCTGTGTCTTTTGATTATGAAGCACCATTATTTGGAGTTTTAATGTAATC